TTGATGTCGAAGATGCTGGCCCTTTAGAGGTAATTCTTTTGAACAATGGCCGTTGATGGCTAAGGTCTAGTTAGAAAAGTGGTATAGATGTTTGGTAACCAAGACATGTATTAGATGTTTAAAATGAAAACAAGATTCTGAAAAATGATGGTAGAGAAAATAACTTTGAGTTTAGGATTATCTTTTTATTCTTTTCTAATTAATGTTATGTTTTTACTCTCAATTTTTCTAACGTTCTACATATTTTTAACAATTGTGTATTATTTTTGTTTACAAAAATAAATGAATGTAAAAAAAACAAAAACTCTTTGACATTTCTCTACAACTGAGCTTTGTATCTCACTAGAGCCTATTTACAGACGTCGACTTGTTCTCGTCCGTTTTTGGCTCACTTAATAGCTCTGCTCATTCTCTGGAGAAAAAAGGTCAGTGAGGAACTTACTCTTGGTAGAATCATTAAATCTTGTAGGTTTATTGGCAAGAAATGGATGATTTCGAATAGGAATTGGATTGAATTATAACGAGTTGGTTTGTAGCAAAGAAGGAAATGAAATAATTGATATAATATTTTTTTAGTAAATATATACATTCACAAAAATCGTAACGCAGTAAAAATAACTTCCTGATGATAATGTATATAGAAGTACAGTTCGATTTAAATTTATAAATTTTTATAAAAAAAATAACGAATCAACTATTGATAATATAATATTTTCTTTTACATATGTCTAGAAATACGATTCAATTTAAATTCATGTTTTTTTTTTATATAGAGAAGAATGCATCGATTATTAATGTAGTTTTTTTTTTTTTTTAACATATGTTAGTTGTATTAAAAGTACAGATACAAGCCCTGCTGGATCTGAGAATTAACTAATTGTGATTGTGATAAATTTACACAGCAAAGATTTGTGAATTGATTAATATATATTCTCTTATGGAATATTAAAAGTTTATGTGGGGGTATGGTGCCAAGAAGGCGTCACCAGGAAGCCTATTTACACAGTGAGGAAGAAGCAACAAACTGCTGTAAAACTACACTTGAAGAGTTTTAAGCTTTAGTTATTTTGTTGTCTCAAAAAATGATTATAATTATCAAGTAAACAACGCTTTTCTAAATAATAATTATAAAGCTAATAAAGCTAAAATAATAGTTACTGGTAATAATATCTATTGTTATTGTATTTGGTTGAACAGAATCACAACTGTAACAAAATAATATGTAATTATAGGATTCGTGAACTGGAATAGTGAGAGATAATTATATATTCAAGAATTTCATTTTTCACCTTCTCGTCAATCATAACATCGAGTTTTATTAAAAAAAACATTTAACAGCTTTTTTTTATGTATGTTTCTAATTTCAACTGTAATATACCTTTTCCTCTACATATACTTTGTGTTTCTTTCGTATGTTTCTAAACTTCATATGCCGAAAAATTTTAATTCTGATTGAGAAAAGGAAAAAATAAAAAAAATAATAATTTAGTGGTTAAATATTTAAATTCTCTGTAAAATCATAAG